CCACAACCCTAGCTTCCCTCCTTTATCCCTCTCTGTAAGCTCTCAAGTTTTCACTCTTTGTTTTCTCAAAACCACAACTGTTGCTCTTTGTATTTTCACTACGTGTATGGGTTTTGTTTTTAGAACCCTAGGTAGAACTCGTACCTGTATATTTATAGGTGTTTGTAATACACAACCCTAATTCTAGTTGTAATACAAGAAGGAAACCTACATATACTAAGTCGGCTAGCATGAAACCTAAAACCCTAACCCTAATTTACGCATTTAAATAAATACACACTGAATTAAGTAATTAAATCAATTAAATAAGTATAGTAGGTAAAATACTAAAAGACAACTCATTAATTAAAAACACTTAAACTATTAATTCCAATTAATGCAAGAAAATACAATTAACCACTTAAACAAATAATTCCAATTAAGTAAACAAAATAAAACAATTAACAATTATTCAAATAAAAAGACAATTAAAAAAAAAAAACAAGTTAATGAAAAATAAACAATAAAAACAAATGAAATTTAAATAATTTAATAAATACCAGGACTATCCTTTTGAAATTAGGGATATTACAAACTTTAACGAATTGATCTTGGTTATTTTTGTTGCTACATATAATCTTGTGAAGTCAACATTCTCAATGGTTTCAATTTACAAGATTTATATGGTTGGTTGCTTCCTCTTTCTAGGAAATTTCTTCCTTGTAACCCTTGTTAATTTGTGACAAAAAGGGAGAGAGAGTTGAGACACTTATTATTCAGGGGGATAACTTTTTGCATTGAGGGGGAAAACCATTATTCATTGCATTACATTGTATTGACATTCAGGCATTATTCACTTTACTATTTTATGCTTATGTTTATTTTCTTGATTAAGCTTCACGAGTAGTTGTATTTGAGCTAATGTGCAGATTACAGGTTGTTACATGTGTTGAAGCTTCATGAGGTTCAATAAAATTTTCGCGGTTTATTTTCTTTAACAATCATTGTAATTTATTTTCCTGCTTAGGTAGATTGTTGAATTGTTTTTAGGGTTTTGTCACGAAATTGCCAAATGGGGAGATTGTGAGATATATATTTTGTAATTGACTAATTTTGTTGTCAAAACAAGTCCGCTCAAGTTGTAATTTTTTGATTCAAAATTTTGAAGATTGAAGATCGGATGCGGAGTTGAAGAAGTTCAAGTGTTCGTGATATACTACACTCTGAGATAATAAGAACAATGCTCTAAGAAGTTTTAAGAGGTAGTGAGAACATTTAGGAAAGGTTTTGGAAGGTTCGGAACACGTGTTTACATTCTATGCATCTTGAACTGGTTCAAGATTTATCGAACAGGTTCAACATTTTCAGAATTGCCAAAATTTCAAGACTGGCCATCTTGAACCGATTCAAAAAGTTTTGGATGCATCGGGTTTCCAAGTTACCTTCGTCTGATGTTTCCTTTTTTATCCCAACTTCCTTTCAAGTCTTATGCACAAAATTTATCATATTCATATTTTCTGTGGGATTAGGATTTTTAAAACTCTATATAAACCATGTCATATACATTGGTTGAGAAATGGTTTTAGGGAAAATCAATTCTATATTTTGAGAAAGCCTTTTAGAGAGAAAAAAATTCAGAAAATCAAATCTGATTATTCTGAATTTATTTTTGAGAGCACACATATATATTCATGAGTGATTTAGTTGTGTTGTTCTCTATTTTATCGAAATTGGAGCTATATTGAAGATTCAGATATTCCGGATGATCAGCAGGATTTAATTCTTCTACAATCGAGTTTAGATCTTGAAGAACAGAAGTAAACGCAGTCACACTTTGAAAGGGTTGGAGCATTCGCGGAGTGCTGTCTGATTTACTTGCTACTCTTCTATAAATATCAAGTGTAAGCCTGAGGTCGAATTGCTGTTGGACGGGGAGTCGCAAAGCCAGAGGATCGTCAGCGGTTGGTTTGGTGTAGAACGATACGGTATGAGTCAGAGTCAAAGTTTGGTATACTTTGTTTCAAACATAGTGGATTGGTTTACTTTGGACTGCACAGTCCACGAGGTTTTTCCCATAACAGTTGACGTATTTTATCAACTAGGGTTTCCTCGTTAAAATCCTAGTGCAATCTCTCTAACTCTAACTTGCTTTACTTTACATATATTTGTGATTGTGGATGTTTAAATTGATCATATAATTTAATCAATCATAAATTAAGTAAGTTGACCTAAGAATCAGATCTTGGTCATTAAAGGAGTTAATCACAATTAAAATCAACTGTCTGTTTCCGCACCCGCTTAACTCTTGTTTCACATAAACCATGTCATTCACTTCGTCGTAAATCGGCGAATTAGACTTCTTTCCAATCTCTCTGAGAATTTCCTCTTCAACCTTTGGTTTATTGTAAAGCAACCAGAAATACCACGTTAAAGCCACCGATGTGGTGTCTCGGCTAGCTAATATGAAGCTGATGACTATATCTGTAACGAAATTTTCATCCGAATGACCGGAGCTCAAGAATCTAGATAGTAGATCTACAGAGTCCAGTTCTGATTTAACAGTGAGTTCTTGTTTCTTTTATTTGATGATATGTTTAGCGAATTCGTGTACTTTATTGACAGCGATCCGAAGTTACTTCTCGGATCCGATATCGAGAAGTCTTTTAGTTTTCCAAATAGAGATAGAGGAGAGAGAAATAGTGTGTGTAGGGGTATAAAAGTCATTTTCATTATCTAATATTTTGGAATAAATGTGATTAAAAAATTAGGGGCAAACATGTCTTTTTTATGTTTTTAATGGGGGTTATAACGGAAAAGCGAAAATGGACCTAAGTGATAGTTATTTCGAAAGATATTTGAGACTGATATTTGGCCAAATCTCAAGGGGTGTCAGTAAAATTATCCCAAATTTTAATTAGTTATAATTACATTTATGTAGATCAGCTAAATAACATGTATCTTCTGCTTCTCTATGACTTTAAATATAATATGGACATGGTCCTCTTCAGTCGATGTTGACTTTCCCGGAAGTGTTAAATGATTATTATATTTATCGTGCATTTATTATTTTTTAAATGTATAATGGGAGGTGATATTCGCACTCCACTTTTCAACGTTTACACTGCAATCTTAAATGAAATGGCAGTTCTAATCCTAACTTTACAAATAAATTGAATAATTGAATAATTTTTTTTTACGGGACCAAGAAATAAAAATAAAAATAAATATTTATTGAAGAAATTATATTTTTTGTCAACATCCCCAAAAGAAAAGAAAAAAAGAATGAAAAGAAGAGGATTATTATTATTATTATTTTTATCTAAATTGAATAAATTATTTCTTTTGATAAGACCCCCCCCCCCCCAAAAAAAAAAAAAAGGAGGTTATTTTTATCTAATAAATTATTTCTTTTGACAAGACTCATAAAAAATTATCAAAAAAAAAAAAAAGTTATCTCTTTTAAATAAAAATAAGTTAACTTTGTTGAATAATATCCCTTTCAATTGTAAAAAAAAAAAAAAAAAAAAAAAAAAAAAGGAGAAAAAAGAAGTTATTATGAAATAAATTATTTCTTTTGACCATCAAAAATTAAATTATTAGTATAGAATAAATTATTTTCTTTGAGAGGACCTTCAGAAAAAACAAATAGATAGGGAAAAAAAAAATAGTAAATAAAGTAAAGAAGATAAAAAAATGTTAAAATTGTATAAAAGGTGGTTATGACATTATAAATTAAAGGATAGTACATTAATGAATTGAATGACCTTCTTGTCATTTCTTTTAAAAGAAAAAGATAAATGTAGTGCAATTGGAGAAAAGTAGGGCGCGAATAAAAAAAAATAAAGGTATCACTTTAGCATACAAGAGTATTACTTCGAACTGGATGAGAGGTTAATGTTATATTGGAAATTAGAGACAATTTACAAGAGATTTAAGTGTCACCCCATTCAATTTTTTTGAGGTTAATGTTATATTGGAAATTAGAGACAATTTACAAGAAATTTAAGTGTCACCCCATTCAATTTTTTTATCTTTCACTTGAAAGGCCAAAAAAAAAAAAAAATACCCAAGTGTGTGGCCCTTGGTGGTAAAGCAGTATAAGTTTCACAAATGTACAAAGATATGATTTCTCATTTTGTATCCAACAAACATTCTAGCATGGCCTATTGGTTCTCTACTTTTTATGTTAGAAGTCTTTCATCTTTTGGTGGCTATGAGTACAAAGCGTTGGGTAAGTAATTAAGAATTAAGTTAAGATATCATATCAACACCAAAAAAAAAAATTCTTCTTCAATAATAAAATATATGTTTACCTATCAATCTTCTTCTTCTTCTTTTTCTTCTTCTTCTTTTTTTAATTTTTTTTATTTTGCCTATCAATCTTGTGACCCATCTTCATTTTATATAACAAACAAAGCACTCAAGAATTATAACCCCAGACTACCCAGTAGTACTTTTAGTGTTCCAAAGTGATAGGGCGAAGGTTCAAGTCTTTATAGACATGAAAAATTAGCGTAAATCATTATTAACATTATATTCAAACACTATTAAGAGAACTACTGCCTACTAATTTAAATAATTACAAGCTAATAACAGTAAAATGCAAAAGCAGCCAAAATATGCAGCATGCATGAAGATAAACCAATTCCTTTTCATATATATATATATATATATATATATTTTTTTTTGGGAAAGTCCTTTTCATATTTCGTGATACACATCTAGTGGGCAAAATTTCAGAGACTATCACAGATTTTTATTTATTTATTATTTTTTTTTTCAAAGGAGAAAGGACAGCTCTGATTTCTTCTAGAAACTTAATGCTCTAGCTCTACTCACCCAAGTTACATAACATGCCAAATACCAAATTCAAAAAATAAAATAACAGCAAAAAAAAAATTACTCCACAAATTAAGTACCCTTACCCATGATGGTCACACCATGACAACCACTAATCATGATCACTAGTAATCATGCCACAAAATGATAATGATGGTGGAGATTAATTTAAGCCATCATTTTAAGAACGATATTAATTTTACAGTCAAAGAGTTTGAACAATATACAAAGTCGAAGACTGGATACGGATCGTTCAAACTCTTAGGCCTCAATAACATTACTCTTCTAGGAAACCAGTCTTGGTTAAAACCGCATTCCTCACTTTGCTGAGGTCTCTTCCTTTGAGTGTCCTTCCAATCCCTTCACACATGGAGAAAGAAGAAACCTGACTTCTTGCAAGCTTCCTAGCTATATATTCATGTGGAGGCACCATTTCATCATCATCAACAACATCATAATAATCCCCATAGCCATAAACATCATCACCTTTCTTTGCAGTACTGTTTCTGTAAATCTTTGACCAGTCAGGAATGTTCAGAGGAGCTGATGACCCCTGAGCCATCTTGGCCTCACTGGTATTACTACTGCTCCTAATTGGGATCACTCTTGGAGCAGTAGGTAAGCGCCTCACTGATGAATCCTTGGAGGACTTCCCCTTCTTAGGGCTTGAATCTTCTCTCTCCTTCAAAACTCCCCAAACTACTTCTTCCAAATCTTCATCTCTCATTGACTTCCCAACACCATACCCATCTGCCATAGCTTACAAGAGAATGCTCAAAGCTTGAACAACACAAACCTACTTTCCAAAATATATGGATATACAAGGGAAAATGGAATTTTTTTTTTTTTTTTTTAAAAAAGAAGGAAAATAAGGGTGCAAGAGAATGAAATCAGAATAAAAAAGGAGAGCTCACAGAGATAAACCTGTAGGAGTACCAGAAACCAGAAAAGGAAAAGAAATTAAGCAAAAGGAAATGATGGGTTTCATCAGAATCTCGGTTCCCAATTTTTTCTTCTCATACTCTACCCGAAAATGGTTTGACAGTACTTACAGGTTTTTTTTTATTTATTGAAAGATGACAGTACTTAAAGGTTGGTTTCACAATTCACTACAAAATTGTTCAAAAAAAAAAAAAAACCCACAAAATCATGTGGCTCTGGTATAGCTAGAAGCTGTCATGGACTCATGAAACCATTTTTTGTGTTTTTTTTGTAGCCTTAGTAGAACATTGGGAATATAGAGATTTATTCTTGAAGTGGGGTTGACATTGAATCTGTTGAATTTCTGTGACGTCTGAAAAGACTGACTTTTGATTGGGAAAGGTGGAGAAGAACCATTGGTCTGACAAACCTTGCTGATTTCTGTAATCTTATCCTCTTATAACACTAATAAAAGCTTTCTTTCTGCATAGAGAGAAGATACATATATATACTATATATATATACAAGTACTTTTATAGGATGCCTGCGAGAGGGTGCTATTAATGGAGTAAAAGCACTTTGAGTTGGGTGGTGGAGGAAGCGCACTCAGAGATTTGTGGAGGTGGGTTTTTATTTGTTGATTTAACTGTGACTGAAGTTCTATTCATTCTTCAATGCTTCCTGGGTTTTGGGATTGTTGCTGAGAGCAGTGACGTGCACATACAATGTTATCTATTTATTATTTAAAAAATATAGTGTTATATAAGTTAAAAAATAATGATATGACATATATATATTTTTTTATTCACATATTTCATACTGTGAAATTCAATTATTTTATTTTTTATTTTATTAATTTAATTTAAAAATAAAATAAAAAATTTGAAGACAACCCAATAGGTACAATATAGCAGCAGCAGACAATTAAACAAAGAAAAAAATTTGTAGCGCATTCTCTAAAACCCACTCCATTTGTAAACAACCCAATAGATAGTCATTGTAGGCCTACAAAAAACACTTGTTTCTCCATACCGCCCTCCTCTCTCTCTACACTGACACACACTCCCTCTCAAACAACTTGCGCCACGAATGCTCTGAGAACTAATCACAAGGCATTGCAATTCAATGCACAGAGAGATAAATGCATATGAATATTGGGGCAGTCATGTGTCAGCCTGGTTAAGTGAGGGGTCCTCTCAACTCAAATCAGGCAACAATAAAATTTACAATACAGGATACATCCATGTGTTACTCTCGGTCAATAAACAATTATGAAAACTTTTAATAACTTTAAGGCAAAAAAGCATAAAACCCCCATCAAGTATTAGAAATTAGCATTTTACCTTCCTGAACTACAAAATCGAGCAAGTCAGTCCCTTAACTATCAGAAATGATCAATTTCACCTCCTGACAGTCCTTTCCAGCTCATTTCCAGTACCAGCATTGTACATTTACAAAAATGCCCATTATAATTAACATTTTAAAAAAAGCAAATAAAATAAAATTTGTAAAATACCATCAATACCCTCACAGTTATATACGGCTTATATTGGTAAAGTTACTTAGTGTAAACTCAAAATAGTGACTGAGTGGTTTTGAGTTCTTAGAGAAGAAAAGAGGAAAGGTCGCGATGCTAGGGTTTGTGAGTGTGACTGCGATTTAGGGGATCTGAAGTACGATTTCTAGGGTTTTGTTTGGTGAATTTTTGGATAGTGTTGAGGAAGAAGAAATTGTGTTTATGATAATCGATCGCGGAAGAAGGATATTGTTAGTACACCTTGAACTACAGAATCATAAGTGTTCTTATTATACCAAATGTTGATTTTTCTTTAAAAATTGTCACTTTATTTATTATTTTTGATGTTATTTTGATTAATTTTGTTTGGTACGGTTATTGAATAGAATGTTCCAATAATTTTCTAGGGTTTTTGACTTTGTGTATAAATAGTTTGTACTATGTGACCATTGAGATTTTGTTATAAAAGTGCGGTTTTTGTCTTTTGATTATTGGTAGGGTTTTTGAATCATTTCAAGCTGTTATGAGTTATTTGTTTTTTACTTTTTAAAACTCTGCGAGCACAATATTTGAGATACTGGCATGCATGAGCAATTTTTTTTTTTTTTTTTTTTTTTTTTTGTGTATTTAAACACTGCCCTTAGATCCATTAAAACTATGTTAGACCCCACTATCTGTTGTGTTGTGCTTTTGGGGTGTTTTTTTCTTGCTTTTGGTCAATGTATTGTAGTTGTTGTCACTGTCCTGTGAATAGATATAAAGGCATCCTTTACTATTGTTAGGTCATTGTCCTGTGCTTTTTGTTGTTCCCACTATGTTCCCTTTCAATTATTAGTTGCCTTGTATTTTATCATTTTTTTTATTTTATTTTTTTTTATAGATAATGCGTAGGTTTGTTACTCTAGAAGTTCATTCTGGAGGATTTTTTCTGTGCACACCCCTTAAGAGTTGTACAGGGGGCATTGTGACTTTGATTCATAATGTAAATCTTGATTTCTTAAGTTTATTTGATTTCAATGATGTGGTAAAGGATCTTGGGTATGATGAAAGGAGTCAATTATATTATAGGAATTCAATGGTGGCTAGTGATGAAGGGATTAAACAAATACTAAAAGATGAAGATGTATTGGGCTGCATTAATTGTCATCAGAGATTTGGTTTGGTTAAAATATTTATTATTTCTCCTAGTACTTCAATGGTTGATGATGTGGAAGAGGAAACAATCAATGAAGAGTGGGAAGATAAAATCCTAGAATGGGCTACTGAGGCAGCAAATGGTAATGTTGACCTACCAGTGAACAATGGTGAGGTGGAACAATTGACTGCTGAGGGATTATATGGTGTAACAGATGTGGAAAATGAAATGGGACATCAATCTGTTGACATAGAAGATGACATGGACCATGGGTATGTGGCTGAGATGGAAGATGATATAGGACTTGAACATGTTGACATGGAGCATGATAATGCTGCTAACATGGAAGATGACACAAGATATCAATCTGCTGAGGTGAAGCCTACTTTTGCTGATAGTGAACATGCTAATCCTGAAGTGGATCTTGATTTACATGACAGGGGATTCAATTTTTCTGACATTGAGTCAACATATGCTCCAAATGATGAGTTTCAAAGCTTAAAAGGTTCATCTGAAGATGATGATGAGAATGATGTTGGTAACCTACAGAATCCAAGAAGGGTTAATGCTTTTGAAGTGGGAAAGAAATATGAATTTATAACAAAGTTTAGAATGGACTTGAGAACTCATGCTATTAATGAGAAGTATGACATCAGATTTGTCAAGAATGAGGCAGAAAGAGTTACTGCTAGATGTGCTTCTAATTGTGGGTGGATGATACATGCATCCATCAACTCTGAAGATGGTAGTTTTGAGATAAAGACATTTAGATCAAATCACTATTGCTCTTACACTAAAATAAACAAGCAAACTTCTTCAAGTTTCTTGGCAAATAAATATATGAAAACCTTGAGGGATGAACCTAACTAGAAGACTGGTGCAATGAAGAAGGCAGCCTTAAGGGATTTGAATGTTATTGTTACACTATATAAGGTTTATAGGGCAAAGCTGAAGGCAAAGACATATATTCAGGGAACCATAGGAAACAATTCAGTAGAGCTAGAGACTGCTGTCATTTAGTTCAAGCCACAAACCCTGGGAGCATTGCAGTCACCACTGTTGACAGAGCAACACTGGAAAAACATGCAAGATTTGAAGGGTTATTCCTTTGCTTTGAAACAATGAGAAGAGGTTTCTTGGAAGGGTGTAGGCCATTCATTGGAGTGGATGGATGTTTTTTAAAAGGTCCTTATAAAGGCCAACTGTTAAGTGCAATTGGGAAGGATGCAGACAATGGGATTTTCCCTATAGCTATTGCTGTTGTTAGATTTGAAACAAAAGAGTCATGGAAGTGGTTCATGGAATAACTAGAGAAGGCTTTGGGTCTATTACATTGATTTACATTTATGTCTGATAGGCTGAAGGTATTTATTTAACTTTTAATTTTTTTTTTTTTTTTATGTTATGTTATGTATATTTGTTTGTATGTTCATTTAATTAATATTTATTTTTTTGTTTCTTTATTAAGGATTAATTGAGGTATTTGAAAACATGTTACATGGTTGTGATTATCAATTTTGTGTGAAGCACATATATGAAAATTTCAAAACAAGTTTAAGAGGTTGAAGTTGAGAAATGAGATGTGAGATGCATCACGTGCACTAACCGAGAGTGTATTCAAGTATCACATGCAGATTATAAAAGACATTGATAAGGATGCCTATGAGTGGCTTGAAAAGGTATCTCCTAGATTATGGTCAAGACATAAATTTGATGATAGTTCTAAGTGTGATTTGGTTGTCAATAATCTTTGTGAGACATAGAATGACAACATTGGTGATTCTAGGGATAAACCACTCATTACTATGTTGGAGTGGATTCGTGGTTATGTGATGCATCGCTTTCAATCCAGAAGGGAGTGAATGCAGAAGCAAACTGACTTGTTGTGCCCTAGTATAGCTACTGAATTCAATAAGTTGATAGATGACTCCAAACATTGTACTGCCAAAAAAGCTACTGCAGATATCTTTGAGGTTTATTATAAAGGTGTTAATGAGGGTGTTAACTTGGAAAAAAGAACGTGTAGTTGTCGGGAATGGGATGTAAAATGTATACCATGCATTCATGCCATTGCATGTATATCTTTAGAAAGGGGGCAACCTGAGCATTATGTGGACAGTTGTTATCATAGGGAGACTTATTTGAGGATATATAGCCCTATAATATAACCTATGCCCCTTAGGCAATTGCAAAAAGAATTTGGCACTGATCCTATACACCCACCCATTGTAAAACTTGTAATTGGAAGGCCTAAAAAAGCAAGAAAAAAGGCAACTGGTGAGGTTAATAAACTTGGTGTAGGTAGTAAGAAAAAAAAAAAAAACTGAAATGTGGTAAGTGTAGGGTAACAGGTCACAATACTAGAATATGCAAAGTAACTGAGGCAATACCTAAGACAAGAGGTCAAGTAAAAGTTAAAGGAGGTAGACCTCATCTGCCTGTTGTTTCTGGTATATTTGGTGTACTTCCAAACAATATAGATGTGGCTGCAAAAGAAAATGATGGGCTTCAAATAGGTTCTGAAAGTGCTGCAAGTTATGCAAGAGGAAGAGGGGTTGGGGTGCTGCAGGTTCTACAAGAAGAAGTGGGGCTGGAGGTGCTGCAAGAGGCAAAGTTGTACTTGATAATACAAGACAACTGCATGAGGTACAATGTTTAAATGACTTTCTATTTTCATAGTTTGTAAAATATGTTATACTAAGATACATATTTTTCTTGCATAGGTGACTTCAATACCATCAAGGTATGGGAATATGTTGAATAATTTGTCACAATCCTCATCAGTTGATCTGAATGTGTTATGGGGTAGTCAAGCATCATCATCATTAGGAAGGTATATCTCTTTTAAATAATTTCCATAGTAGTCATCATCTTCATCTCTTTTAATTGATTTTCATAGTAATTAAGCATCATCATAATCATCATCTTCATCTCTTTTCTTGTGGCAGACCCACTACAAAGGATCCAAGACTTTAGCCAACATTAGGGATAGATGGTGGCAGATAACTTTTTTTGGTGCAGCTCATGACTTATTAATGGAAAGGAACACCTTTTGTTTTTTGGTGTCTTTATGGTACTTTAGCTGTTTTTTGGTTTATGATACAATGGCAGTAAGTATACATTTTGGGTGCACTTATATCGATTTTATTGCTAAGTTTGATACAATGGCAGTAAGCAGGGGCGAGGCCAATTAAGGCCCAGAGGGGGCACGTGCCCCCACTCACTTTGCTCCAATCTACTATACATAGGTACATATTTTTGGTATATACATATACTTACATGGTAATTTTAAATAGTGCCCCCCCTCAAATTTTCTAATTTTCTAATTTTCTTTTGAAAAAAAAAAAAAAAAGGTTATATATATCCCTTCTTCAAGTATACAATATATTTTTCATTTCCTAATTTTTGTTTCCTTTTTCAAAAGAAATTCTTTTTTCACTTATGTATAATTATGTATTTTTCTATTTTTTTTAACTTATTTCTTTTTATCGATGAAATTTGTGATTGTATTTAATTAAAATATTATTAATTAATATTTTGATTCTTATATTTGTAACTATATTTTTTTTACAGTATTTATTTAGCATATTATTTTACAACTATTTTTTTCTTATTTGCCTTTTTGATTTAAAAAAATTATACTTCCTATTTGTCATATTTATTTATTTATTATTATTTTTTTAACAAATGCATTGTGCCCCCTCTGAAATAAAATCCTGACTCCGCCCTTGGCAGTAAGTATATATTTTGGGTGCACTTGTACTAATTAATTACTAAGTTTGATAAAATGGCAGTAAACTAGTATAGATTTTGAATACACTTGTATGGATTTTATTGCTAAGTTTGATACAATGGCAATAAGTATGATGTTGCTAAGTTTGTGCAGTGCTATGAGCACTATGTGGACTCTGTGTGTTATTGGTTTGTTTAGTTTTTTTTTATATGTGTCTTATGGTACAATGATTTATGACTCTGGTGCATGTGTAATTGCAGTTTGTATGTCTTTTATTATTTTGCTAGGTTACAGTGACTATGGTGCATTTCTTGTAGTTGTGTTACTATGCTATGTCGACTGTGTGTGTTAAGAGTTGGTATAGGTTTTGCAGTTTGTGTTACTATACTATATGTATATCATAGTACTACATGATAGATAAGAAACAATTGCTTCAATTATATTCATTAAAAAATATTCCATTACAATTATATATGATTTACTAACCATACAATGAACATCATAATACCACAAGATATAAATTCTAACATGAAAATTTTAAAATTAGTGATTACATTGTTTCTAGTCATGCTACTTGGTACAGGTTGTCACCCACAAAATTCATATTATCATTAATAGGTAAATGTTACACCTCTAAGTTCATATCTAAATTTCGCATCCCAACTTCTGCTCTTAAAGATGATATTCTTCTCATAGCCATCTCTCTTTCCATCTGGTTCCAATTAAAATCTCTTTGAACTTCATTGTGTTGGGGATCTATCCATCTCAAAAACTCATAACTCCTCATCGGATAACCTCCACATCCGTAGAACCTCCACCCTAAATTCGCCGTTGTTGTTGCTCTTCTCAAAGGAGATTTTATTCCACAATAGCAATATAATTCTTCAGGCATTCTATCACGATAAGATACATTATTCGAGTTTCTGGAGGTCCTAAATGGTTTCATATACCTACAAATAATTTGCACAACTTTATCAATATATGTTCACTATATAACTTTAAGAAAACACAAAATTTTATATTAAACAGTAAGCATATATCTACATATATATACGTAGAGAATATATATGATAATATATATATATGTAAAGTACAGAAATACTTATATATGTATGGATTATATATATATATATATATATAAAGTATAGAAATACCTTAACTTCTTCAACTGTGATGGAGGTTTTTTTTGTAGCACTTGGAGAGGGGAGCTGCTATTGGAGGAGGAAGAAATGAGGTTTGGAGTCCATTTATAGAGACAGGGCTACAATGGTCATATTGTAAGGGCAGTTACGAAATTATATCAAAAAGTAACTTCACGCGCTCCATCTGTGCCGGAAATGAGCCGGAAAGGACTGCCAGGGGGTGAAACTGATTATTTCTAATAGTTGAAGGACTGACTTGCTTGATTTTGTAGTTTAGGGAGGTAAAATGTTGATTTCTGATACTTAAGGGGAGTTTTATGCTTTTTTGCCTAACTTTAATAAGTACTTATGGTATCGTATCGTAAATTTTCTCACAATCAACATACTTTGAGTAATGCTACAAACAACCAGCTATACAGAATATAGTATTCAAGTAGTTATTAACAAAAATTGAATCTGAATTAAGTATCTCTTACAGTGTTTATTTCAATAATTGCCAAGTCAAATGGTAAAAATAAGCCGTTGCATTTCTATCATTTTTCAAAATAAATTCCTATATTGGCCCATTTTGTAATGACAAAACACAACCCGCAAATTCGAATTCAAAGTTGCCTCTATTTTTGCTTAAATATTAAAAAATTCCAGAGGCTAGTTAGATATGATCATATGAATATATGATGCCTATAGTGAGGTGAATTCAGTAATGGAAGTATTCTACATGTGTATAAGCGTGCAAGCTGAGTTAGTGGCACGAGTGAGAGTGTAGGACCACTCTTCTGAACTTCGATTTTATTCTCGGTTTTTTCAATAATACAAATCTTTTATTTCAATAATACTAATAGACTATGAGTATATTTTTGTTGATTTTGTTGTTTATTGTTTCTGAGTTTTTAGAAATGCTACTGATATTGTTACTCCATATGTTAGTAGTTAAATTTGAAAATCGTAGTAGTTGAATTTGAATGATACTGGCAGATTACGAAAACGCTCTTTGGAATCTTTGAATTTGAGATACATATATATATATATATATATATATATATATATATTATTCTTTGGATTTTATTTTAATCTCAAAAAGTAAAATCCACATGAATGAACACACAAGCAGATGGGAAGTGAAAACTGATCTAGGTTAGCAGAACCATACGAGAAGGCTTTTATATAGGGCCTTGTACACTGGGGTAGCCCTTTTTATCGTATCTACTCAAACATCTATCACAAATTGCATAATATTGCAACAAGAACCAGTGTAGCAGTCGCAACCTCAACTGTTACGAGCTTACACACCCACCCATGTTGTGGATGTATATGTTGGATAACAAGCTTACGAGCATGGTCTTACTTTGAAATGAAAGAAGACTTTCAGCTCCAAGTTTAACTCAGAAGTAATTCGCTTCTTTTGGAGTGTGAAGCAGTGTCAAACCCAAAATACCTAACAAGCATTATGAATGGATGAATGTTGTGTGTAGATGTGTGCATCTTTTATCACAACAGCCTCAAATTAATTGTGGCTTACGTGATAACATTTCAATTTTTTGAAGCCATAGAGTAAACAATCAGAATCTGACCATCAGAACAGCCTGGATTTGCCTGGCCTTTGAACCAAACACACACTGTTTGTTCCCTTCTATTATTTTTCAGTATGCAGTCACAACCTCAATTGTTGCAAGTGTAGCAGTCACAACCTCAAATGTTTCAAGCTAACAATATTGTGAATTCTTTTGCTTGTTTTTGCAGAGTTTTCAAGGTGTGATCTTCCAATTCCTCTTTATAAGAATTACTCTAGAAAAATTGTTCACATTTTTCTTAGTATAATTCTCTTTGAGAGATTCTATAGAACATTACGGGAATTGTTGAGAATGGCAACAGATAATATAGAAGAGCAAGTTTCATACAAATGCATTTCAATTTTTAGACAACACATCACATTGGCGACATCAATCCATGGAAATCCATATAATCTTTGTCTTAATTGCGCGCATACACACCTATTTTTTATGCATAGATTGTGAATGGATGTATGTTGTGTGTAGATGTGTATATTTTGTCACGATGGCCGCAAATTACTTGTGGCTACGTGATAAAGATTTAAATTTTTGAAGGCCACAGAACACAAATAACCAGAATCTGACCATGGCAATAGCCTAGAATTGCAAGGGACAATTTATAAGCAAATTAAAACCAAAAACAGACCGAATCTGTAGGTGTGAGAACTCCAAAACAATATAAGTATTATATATATGAGGGGTAAAATTCAACATACAAAGATGGTAAGGAATGCACCATAGTGTTCCAAGACACTAATTGGTTCTCCTTGTGCATGATGAAGTTTGTAGAAGAAGTTGAGAATTACAAGTAAAAAGTGTCTAATGAGTACTCTAATCTTCATAATTGCAATTGAATGAATACAGAAACGCACACAAAATTACCTCCAGAGAAGAAGCAGAGTCATGGGGGAGGAGACAAGAAACTATACTTAGACTAAAGCATCGGCTCCAGAAACAATCTCCAATATTTCGCCTGTGATCTTCGCTTGGCGCTGCCTATTGTAGACTCTTGACAGGTTCTTCTTCAATTCAATGGCATTGTCGGTTGCATTGCTCATGGCACTCATCCTAGCAGCAAGCTCACTCGCCAGAGACTCCTGCAATGCTCTCAGGATTTGGCTGTTCAAGTATAGAGGCAACAGGGCATCAAGAATCTGAACAGGGTCCTGCTCGAATTGCAAGATAGGCGAAAACTCGACTGTCTCAGTCCTCATAACATCTCTCTCCACTGTCAGCTTCCCTTCTCTTGTGGTCAGCCTAAAGAACTCATCTTCAGCTGCATCAACACAATTCCCATTCACATCACATATCTCTCCCTTTGGAGATAATGGAAGCAGGGTATGGATCACCGGTTCGGATTTCACCAACGACACGAATTTGGTGTACAGAAGCTCCACCTTATCAACCTCTTCACTGATAAAGAGTGAAAAGACATCGTCTGCAATAGCTTGAGCTTCTTTAGCAGTGGGAAGATTACCGCCTTCAAGAAACCTGTCCACCGGAATGTAAGGCCTACGAAGAAAATAAGAGTTACCCTTTTTACCAACACTAATCACAGTGTAATCAAGGCCAAGATCCTTGAGTTGCGCGATCCTGGCTTCAGCTTTTTTGATGAGATAATTGTTGAAACCGCCACAGAGACCGCGATCACCGGTGATGACAACCAAAGCTACCTTCTTCACCGGCCTCACATTGGTCAGAGGCACGTCTACGTCGTCGGTTTGGAGCTGCTCATTGATGTTGTAGAGAACTTCAACAAGAGTTTCCGAGAAGGGTCTGCCGTTGACCACAGCTTCTTGTGCTCTACGCACTTTAGCAGCAGCCACAAGCTTCATGGCTTCAGTAATTTTCTGGGTGTTGGTGACCGAGGAAATACGCTCGCGAAGCTCGCGAAGACCGCAGTGAATTGGGTTCACTGAGGATGATCGAGAGGGGCTGGAAGTGGATGAATTGTGGGTTGGAAGCTGAAAAGGGCTAATGAAAGAGCGAAAAGAGAGTGAAGAGTAGTCTGAGAGAGAAGGTTTTGAAGAGACCCAAAGTCCTAGATTTGAGCAAGACATGGTTACAGTGTAGCTTATTGGGCTATGAAGGTATTATTAACTATGGAGGAAGAGAAGAGAAGAGAAGAGAAGAGGAGAGGGTATGTTGTGCTTCAAGTGTCTTTGCATTCAATCTTATCTCGTGTGTGTTGTTGTCGTGGGGTGTGTTTTATTGGTATGGAGGAAAGGAGTGAAATGAGAGGTGGAGAGAGAGAGAGAGTACTTGGATGAGGTTTGGGATAAGGATTTTGACCATTGGTTATTGTGGTGCAGAGAGATAAACTATGGTTTGGAAGTGGAATGTAGATTGGCAAAAGGAAAACCATCTTAACATATAATCTTGTGACTTGCAAAAGAATATATACAAAATTACACACACACACACACACACACATAAATTAGGAGTATATAACTTGCGGCCTTGTGTTGATATAAGGGCTCACATAGACCCTATATTTTGTGTTACTTATTGCCTTGCTGGCGGTTGGGATATGCGGCTATACGATTCTGATCCTTTATGCCCAGATTTTATGTTAGTGGATTTATCTTCCCTTCAATTTTTCACACTTCGGCCAGGGGTTTTAATTAAGTAATTCACGTGATTAAAAAATAATAATAGTAAATAAAGACTAACACAATTCTGCTAATGTTTGGAGAGGGTCAGATGTTAAAAAAACCTTACTTTCGCATGTCAACGTATTGTTTTATTGTTTTGAACTCTTGATCATTTTTCTTGTTTTAAACTCGTGATCACTTTTCTTGTTTCGAACTTGTGAGGATAAGATGTAAACAACCTTATTTCTGCATGTCAACACTTCCACATGTCAACAGATTGTTTTCTTGTTTCCAACTCTTTGATCACTTTTCTTGTTTCGAACTCATGACTTCCAACGGAAGAGTAATTCGCTTGATCACTAAAAAAGTATTATGGCAAATGTTAAAAATTAACAAATAGAAAGAAAATGCCAATTGGTTCGACACCTCCTGGGTGCAGGGGCGGAGCCAGGAATTCGTTTCAGGGGGGCGCCATATTAAAGAGGATAAATTATATATATATATATATTTTTCAAAGGAATAGTGCTGCAAGACATTAAGCCGAAAAATAGAACTGTAATAATGGTGAAATAATAACATTTAATAATTTTAAAAACAAATTTAAAAAAAAATTGGAAACAAAAAATACAGACCTTAAGAGTCCTACCAAACTTTGAAGAAAAAAAAAGTTTGAATAAAGGAATGTAATTTTTTTTTTTTCATAAAAAAGAAGAAGAAGAGGAGGAGGAAGAGGAGGAGGAGTAAGAATGAAAAGGAAGGAAAAATTAAAGATATTTTTAAAAAATAATTATTTTAGTGGGCATTTTTGTAAAATTTTATAAATTATAGGCCTATTTGCAATAAAAATTAATTGGCCCAAGGGTAAATAATTATTTCAGGGGGCATTTTTCACTTTTTTATAAATTATTGAGCTATGTGTAATAAAAATTAATGGCCGTTTTCTAGAAAAAAATTATTTTAGGAGGGACCCCATGTTTCAAACAATTCCTTGAGGAGGGTGTGAGTATAAACTAAAAAAAGAGAGGAGGACAGCCCCCCCCCCCCCCCCCCCCCCTATGCTTCAAACAATTCCTTTAGGAGGGTGTGAATATGAATAAATAAAATAAATAAATAAATAAATAAGGAAAATGCCAATTTGGAACCCAACAAAATGGCTTACAGTTAGCCGATAGCAAATCTTTTGGCTCTATCTAACAAATCCAAGAGAAAATGCTGATTTGGAAGATGCCAATTAGGAGGGAAATCCTAAAAAAAAAATTGTCTAAAATTGTAAACTTCTCAAACAGTGTTACTTTGAAGTTGAAATACAATTAGGAGAAAAGTCCACTGCCTGAAGGTATGCTTCTCTCATTCTTACCAATTCTTTGAGGATGTGCCAGACAAAGTAAAATAACCCTTCCATGAACTAACTCCCAGAGGAATTTGCCAATAACAGAGCATGCATGAATCAGGCAAGTTGTTTGATTAGCAACAAAAAGGAAACCCATCTCTCTAACCACATACATACACAAAATATAACACAATGCAGCAAAAAACAGACAAACAGTGAGAACTGCAGGATTTCTGTTAGGGATAAATCTAAATTACACATGTATCTGGTATCAACTTTAGAGAAGATAGACATCTGATTTATAATTTATAATGATCTATATGATCCGAGTAATAAGAGGCCGATTATGGCACTTAAAATGACAGCACATGTTGAATATGAAGGCCTAAACACTGCTACTAACGGCACTCTCCCATCTTCTGAGAAAAATGCCACCACTCTTCTTTGAGGCTTTTATTGATCCATTTCTTCAGCAGTTTCCCGTAATTGTTTTTTTCTCTTGATTCCTATATTCTTTATATTCGTCATGACAAGACAGTCATAGCACAAATGAGGACAGTACAGGAAGAAGTCAACTTATGAGGGGTGATTTGATACAATTGAAGGCGCTCCAAGAACAAGTAGAAATTCAAAAGAAGTGGAGTCCAGTAATCAGCTAAAGAGTTTATAAAAAGATGCTAACAACAGATTCAATTAACAGGAAGAAGCTGATCTTGTAATGGACATGATGCAAACATAGAAACTCAACCTCTAAACTACCTCCCAAATTTCTGAGTATAGCACATTGAGACCATGAATTCAAGGCAACTTTCTCTAAAAATATGCAAACGTTTTGGTTGATTTAATCAGAACTTGAAAAGTAGAAACTCGATGCATTTTGAGAGAAGAAAAGGTACATACTTAGGATATAGATACAAACTGGCTGAAGGAGATATGCATCATTCCCTATCTGACTGATTGGCTCATCCTTTACCGGACCAATTTGGAGCATGCTCGAACAAGAATGCTAATATGAATGTAAATACATCAGGCAATGTTGAGTAAGCAGTCAGTTTGTCTTGTGGGCTCCACACTTTCTTCTCTAATAAGCGGGCTAACAATGGCCTTGTATGTTTGACTATCAGGAATTGTACCATTAAGCACCAGATGGTCATGCATTTCAACTACTTCCTCTGAACTTCTGTTCTTGCTGATATTCGTAAGAAGAGTTGTGTATGTAACAAAATCTGGATCCAAAGACTGAAGGACCATCAGCTCCGTAAGCTCCTTTGCTTGCTCAATACACCCAAACTTGCACAAAAAGTTGATCATAATATTGTAAGTAACTCTATTCATTGAAATCCTTTCCTTCCTCATTTCTGAAAACAAATCTAATGCATTTTCAATCTTTCCACTGAGACAATATCCATATAACAAAGTGTTGTAAGTTATAATATCTAATGATACACCCATCCTCCGTAATTCATCAACCAAAAGTTTAGCTACATCTACTGATACCTCTTTGCATAGACCGTCTATGATTGAATTGTATATTACCAAGTTAGATCTTTTCTCCACCTTTATCATATCATCATAAGCCTGAACTGCACTTTCTATGTTCCCTTCTTTGCAGTGCCCATCAATCAAAGTACCATATGTGACAAGGTCAGGAATCAAACCCCTGATGAACATGCTGCCCAACAATTGCTTTGCTCCTGCTATATTCTTGTTTTCAACAAGATAATTTATTAGAATATTGTGTGTAAAAGCATCCTCAACAAGATTCTTTTCTACAATCCACTTGTGATATTTAATAGCTTCATTCATGTATCCATTTTCGCAAAGACCCTTCATGAGAATAGAGTAAGTGAATCGATCAGGGCAGATCTTATTATTAATCATGTCAGACAATAAAAAGGAAGCTCCTGCCGTATCTCTTTCCATGTAAAGCTGATGGATTAGTGTATTATAAACCACCGCATTCGGCACCACACCCCTTCTCACCATATCATCACACAAACTAAATGCTTCCTCCAAACTCCCATTTCTCGAATACCCATCAATCAAAGTTGCATATGTCCTTACATTGGGCTCGATACCCGTCTTAACCATTTCATTCTGAATTTCCTCTGCATGTTCCAGTCTCCCTAATTTGCAGCAAGCTTTGATAAGACAATTGTAAGTAACTGGGTTGGGCATAACACAATCCCCTGACATGACTCCCATCTTCTGAACAAGCTTCAAAGCAAGATCAATATCCCCCATCTTGCAGGCTCCATCTATGAGCATGTTGAAAGAAACAATATTCGGTACAATTCCACCCTTCAACATCCCATAAAACACTGAAAGTGCTTCAGGCAATTTACATTCTTTACAAAGAGCATAAATAACCAAATTAAAAGTATTCACATTTTCAAAATACCCATAGGAAATCATTTCCTTGTACACCTTCCAAAATCTTCCAACCTCATCCAACTTCAAAAGATGGTTCAATAAGTTGTTCCATGCATGGATAGAAACCCAACAACCCTCTATTCTCAACTTCTTAATCACTTCAAATGCACCCTCAGTGACCCCAATTTGAGTACAAGCCCTAATTAGAGCATCAAACACTGCGGGACTCGACACACACGCCTCATAACTACAAACCAAACCTTCCAAAACCTCCAATGGAGAATAACCCATTGTTTGCATCAAGTTCTTCATCAAAGACAAGGCATCGTCAAATCTCCTACAATTCACCACCACATGAATAATAGTACAACAAGATTCTAATGAGTGAGAAAACCTTTTGTACTCTCCAACCCAACTGAAAAATTCCAAAGCTAGCTCCGGCGAGGTTCGAAACTCACGAACAACGCGACTCACTATTGAATTTGTGAGACTCGACGATATTTGATCCAGATATTTCCATTTTCTTTGCCTCAAATTGACACAAATGGCTTTGAAAACAATATCTTCAGTGTTTGGGTTCGAGAATTGCTTACCCACGTGAAAACCTCGAGCAAAAAGATGACCTCTTTTTGATAAAAACAGGCTCAAAATCATCAAAGAATAAAACCCAATTCATCAATTTGATTAATTCCTGCAAAAAAATGATTGAAGGACGAAAAACCCAAATCAGCGCAGCATCAGATAAACCCTTCTGTGCAAGAAATGTATATATATAATAGTATAAGAAGATGCAGAGACCAATACTTGAGTATCTAAAGAACCCCAAAAGTTTCTCACTTCCAATTGCCGTGGTGAAGGGATTCGCTGAAAACGTATCATGAAACCCTAGAATGGCGAAAAATATTCAAAATTAGGGGAGTTTCCAAAACGACGACGAAATAATGGGGCAGCTTTGTTTAACTAGTCGTATTGGAAGAGTCAATAACACTTTCTCGATCAAACGATTGAGGTGAGTTTATAGAAATACTTTCATAAAATCATTTTAGCAAGGGTGAAGTGTTAGTATTAAATAAATAAAAAATAAAAAGGGGATATTTTACCTGGTGTTAAAAAAATAAAAAAAAATAAATAAATGGTAATAAGAATATTTTATCTGTTAAAAATAAATAAAGAAATAATTAAGAACATTTTTTCGATTTCAAAATTGAAATATAAACTGTACTTAAAACAAAATAAAATAAAATAAAAAGAACTTATTTCATTAAACAATGATGATCAAGAATATTTTGGAATTTTAATTATAACAAAAAATATTGGTCAAAATTAAAAGTCCAGGACAATTTACACATATTTTTAATTGTTAGGAATTTATATCCATATACTTAAATATCAAGGTTGTTATTTTGTATTTTTTTTTTTTTTTGTAAAGTACAGCAACACTCCCTCAGGTTTGCCAAAAGAACATACAAGTGAAACTTACTAGTTTTTTGGACAAAGACATCCCTTGAAGTTTCAAAAATGGACAAAGACACCCCTGACATGAAAAATTGACCAAATTACCCTTTGATAATAAATTAGACCAATCTACCCTCATGAATAATTTATGCATAAAAGAAATAAAAAAAATAAAAAGCAATCTCTTCCCCTCCACCATTCCATTGCCACCAGCCCACCACACTAAGCCACACATATATATAGGGGTTCAAATTACACACACATATATATACCCACAAATTTTTGTATAGCAAAACCCAACACTACAAAATCCAAACAATATGAAATTGGGTCTTTTGATTAGGTGCTCAATTGGATACCTGCAATTTCAGACAACCACCCACCCAGCTCTATCACCCAATCTGACAAAATCCAAATTCAACAACATGGGCTAAAAGAATGTATGTAAGTTGTTGATCAAAATCCCTAATCCTTTGATTTTGATGATAACAAATCAATAATGATGTGTTTTTCTAATGGTTTAAATGAGTTTTAATGCAAGGAAAAAGAGAACCTGTTTTAGAAAGAGTGGAAGGGACTTCAAGTCATCATGTGGTCTCCCATAGCATCAAGAGGTTGCATATGCTCTTCTATATGATCATCTCACTATAAATGTACAGTCAAATTATTTCAAATGAAATCCAAAGAGTCAATATTTGCTCTTGATCATCTTCAAAAGAAAAAAGCCTAAAACTCAAAAGTCAAGCAGCACATGTCGACCGGTTTGGTACAACATGTCGACCGGTATCTAGGCAGTGACAAAATTCCAAGTTGAAGTCACACATGTCGACCGGTTTGACACACATGTCGACCGGTATCTACGCAGTAGCAAATGTCCAAATTGAGCTCAGTACACGTCGACTGGTTCAGCGTACACATTAACAGAATCATGAAGAACACGTCGACCGGTTTGCAGCACATGTCAACCGATTTACAGCACATGTCGACCAGTTTATTCTACATGTCGACCGGTTTGGTCGCAGGTCTGCAGATTCAAATTTGTAACGGTTATATCTTCATTTAATGCTCTCATTTACCTACAACAGCTCTATTGAATTCGAGATATCTACAAATAGAAAATGTTGGAGCTCAAAGAAACATAACACACAAGTGAGAATACTCAAGGTGATCATTCAAGAGCATTCAAAGAGCCTGAAATTCAGATCTGAGCTTTTACTTCTCATTTTCTTTCTCATATCAGTTCAGAGACTAGAGCTTCATTTATTTCATCTACTTACTTTAGTGTGAGAATTATCCTTGTAATATCTTCCATAAAGAAAGAGAGAGAGAGAGAGAGAAACATTATTGTAATCTTCATTTTCATATCTCTACTATCTTATAAGGGTTGGTGTGACCCAAAACTAAAGCTTAGGAGAAAGGTGTTCTCCAAGCAAGGAAGTGAAGCGTAGTTGTGCTTCAATTGACAGTTTGCTCTCCACCATTAAGGAAGAGCTTTAGTGATTTTGGAAAGTCTCAAGGGAGGACCAAGAGCCAAGGAGTAGGAACTTCCGAATCTCGCTAAATCGCCGAGTCACTGTTTGCATTTCTCTATCTCTATCCTTTTTAATTGCATCTATTTTGCTCGAATATTTTTATTGTGTATTGCATTATATGTTGTTGAAGATAAATTTATAAACATTGGCCATTGACTCTATTCACCCCCCTCCTCTAGAGTCAATTAGTGACTAACAATTGGTATCAGAGCCTAATCTCTAGAAAAAGATTTAACCATCTTAGAGAAAGATCATGGCAAATACAATGTTTCACCAAGAAGGTCAATCTAACAATAGACATCCATGGTTTGATGGAAGTGACAACAATTATTGGAAAATCAAAATGAGAGCATTCCAAAGAGGCATAGACATAGATGTTTGGAAAGCCACCGAACAAAGAGACCATGTTCCAACCAAAATAGTAAATGGTGAAAATGTTTCAACACCCGATATTGAATGGACCCTTAATGACCGTAGACTTGTACAATGCAATGTCAAGGCCATTACAAATCTTTATTGTGCCTTAAGCAAAGACGAATTCAATAGAATTTTGGATTGCGAAACGGCTAAAGAAATTTGGGATAAACTTGAAGTTACCTATGTAGGTACTAGCCATGTTAAGGAATCCAAAATGAATATGCTCGTACATAAATATGAACTTTTTACCATGAATGGCAAAGAAACTATTAGTGAAATGTACTCTCGTTTTACTAACATTGTGAATCCTTTGAAGGCTCTTGGAAAGTCATACACATCATCTGAGAATGTGAGAAAAATTTTTAGGTCATTGCCTAAGAATTGGGAAACAAAGAAGACCGTCATCCAAGAAGCCAAGAATCTTAACACACTTCCCATAGATGAACTCATTGGTTCATTGATGGCATATAAACTTGAAATGAATGATAGAGATGAAGAAAATGAGACTCAAAAGAAAGACATTGCTCTTCAAGCTTCTACCAAAGAAGTCACAATTGATAAGGCTCCCAATGATGATGAAGAAGAAGAAATTGCCCTCATTACCAAAACCGTGAGAAAAGTCCTTCAAATGAAGAAGTTTTAAAAGTGCAACAATATTAAAAGAAGTGGCTCATCTAATGAACAAGGAAAAAGAGAAGCACCTACATGCTTTCATTGTGGAAAACCGGGGCATTTCAAATCCGATTGATATGCTTACAAAAATGAGAAGGAAAGGAAAAAGAAAGGCAAAGCCATGAGAGCTACATAAGAGGATGATGATTCAAATGGATCTGAAAGTGACGATGAATTCAACGAATTGGTTAATCTTTGTCTCATGGCCAATGAAGATGAGGTAAACTCTAATCATGACTTATTTGACTTAGAAATTACTTATGATGAATTGGTTGATACACATAACTATTTGCTAGATGCTTTTAAAGAATTACATGATGAATTAGGTAAAATGGTTCAAAAATGTGCTAGTCTTAGAAGAGAAAAACTCATCATTTCTCAAAACTTTAAAAAATCTCAACTTGAAAATGAAACTTTGAAAAAGGAAAAAGAACTTGCTAAAGAAAAGGCCTCAATTGAGTTAATTGCTGAAAATGAATCATTGAAAGTCATTATTGAGGATCAAGTTGAAACCTTAGCTAAATTCACAAAAGGTAGAGAAAATTTGAACCTCTTACTTGGAAAACAAAGAAATGCTTATGCTAAAGATGGGCTTGGCTTTGATCCTCACAACAAAGATTCTTATTTATTGAAAAAGAGAAAACCTTTGAACAATTATTTTGTTAAAAATTCCTCTTTTAGTCCAAAATGCAACTATTATAAGAAGTTAGGACATAAGATCAACCATTGTCCTATTAGGTCATGTATGACAAAAGAAACTTGGGTTATTAAAGGTACATATAAGCTTCTTCCTAACTCTCATGGACCCAAGAAATTGTGGGTACCAAAAGAAGATTACTCAAATTCCTTTTGTAGGTTTGCTTGAAGTCTCCATACTCATCCAAGGACAAATGGTTCCTTAATAGTGGTTGCTCAAGACATATGACGGGAGATCGATCAAAATTTCTCTCTATCAAGTCTCACAAAGGAGGAAGCGTTACATTTGGAGATAATTCAAAAGGCAAGGTTATCGGGATCGGATCTATTGGTATATCCTCTTCCTTATCTATTGATGATGTCTTACTTGTTAAAGGCATAAAACATAATTTGTTTAGTATTAGCCAACTATGTGATAAAGGATATGATGTGTTGTTTCAATCGGATAAATGCATTATTAAAAGGAATAATGATGAAGTATTTCATGCTCTTAGAAATGGTAATGTATATACTTTGCTTTTTGTGTGAATTACATGATCAAGATGTTAAGTGCTTTATTTCTTCAAATGAAAATAGTTGGTTATGTCATAGAAGGTTGGGTCATGCTAACATGGATTTGATCTCAAAATTATCTAAAAATGAATTAGTCAAAGGCCTCCCAAAGACTAATTTTTTGAAGGATAAAATTTGTAGTGCATGCCAAATAGGGAAGCAAATTAAATCATCATTTAAAAGGAAAAATGACTTAACTACTTCAAGACTACTTGAGTTGATTCATATGGATCTATTTGGTCCGGAGAGAATTGCAAGTCTTGGTGGAAAACTCTATGCATTTGTCATTGTTGATGATTACTCTAGATTCATTTGGGTGTTTTTCTTTGCACACAAAAATGAAACTCATTCAATTTTTGCTAAATTTTACAAAAGAGTTGAGAACGAACAAGAGTGTAAGATTAAGACCAATAGGAGTGATAGAGGAAGAGAGTTTGAAAACCAAGATGTTGAAAGTTTTTGTGATAATAATGGGTATTATCATAATCTTTCAGTTCCTAGATCTCCTCAACAAAACGGAGTTGTTGAAAGGAATAATAGGTCTCTCCAAGAAATGGCTAGGACTATGTTAAATGAACATAAATCTCCTAGAACTCTATGGGTCGAAGCCGTTCGTACCGCATGCTATGTCATAAATAGAGTCATTATTAGAAAACTTCTCAACAAAACTCCTTAT